TGGTTCATTCTGTTCCTTGGATTTGTTTTTCTCCATAAACTACTTTAATGGGTAGGGGGAGGAAGACACTGTGCTTCTCCTTGGTCTGATTGTTTGCTTAAGGATAGTTGCTTCACTGAATCGGAATGAAGATCCATCTAACCCAGGGGTCCCCAACTTTTTTGAACTTGCAGTTAGATCCAGTTTGGTGTAGTGCTTAGGAGCGCAGACTGTAATCTGGGAGAATCAGGTTTGATTCCCCACTCCTCCACATGCAGCTGCTGGTGTGACCTTGGGTCTGTCCTTTCAGAGCTGTTCTCTCAAGGTAAAGGTTCCCTTGCTCGAAAGCCAGTCGAATCCGACTCTAGGGTTGCGGTGCTCATCTCCGTTTCAAAGCCGAAGAGCCAGCGCTGTCCGAAGACGTTTCCGTGGTCATGTTGCCAGCATGACTAAACACCAAGGCGCATGGAACGCTGTTACCTTCCCACCGAAGTGGTACCTATTTAGCTACTTGCAATTTCTTGCTTCCGAACTGCTAGGTTGGCAGGAGCTGGAACTAGAGACGGGAGCTCACTCTGTCATGCAGCACCCGGGTCTCGAACTGCTGAACTACCGACCTTCCACAGCCAGCAGTTCAGCGTCTTAACCACTTGAGCCACCGCAGCTCCAGTTCTCTCAAGTGCAGTCCTCAAAAGAGCTCTCAGCCCCACCGACCTCACTGGGTGTCTGTTGTGGGGAGGGGAAGGGAAAGGAGATTGTAAGCCGTTCTGAAACTCCTTTGGGTAGTGAAGGGCAGGGTATAAATCCTTCCTCCTCCTCCTCCTCCTCCTCCTCCTCTGGAATTCTAGCAAAGCGTGGCGGGCACATCCACAAGATGGCTGCCACAAAATGGCTACCACAGGAGGTGGAGCCCGGCACAAAATGGATGCTGCAGCTTACTTTTAGTCACACAGCGAAGAACCCCGTGCTGTGGTGGTAGCTGCTGCCAAAGCAATGTTTTTAAAAATCTGCACCAGCAGTCAACTCTCCAATGGCCAGTCATAAGAACATCGGAGAAGCCAATGCTGGATCAGGTCAATGGCCCATCCAGTCCAATACTCTGTCACACAGTGGCCAAAAATACCAGGTGCCCTCAGGAGGTCCACCAGTGGGGCCAGAACTCCAGAAGCCCTCCCACTGTTGCCCCCCCCCCCCAAGCACCAAGAATACAGAGCATCCCTTGCCCCAGAATGAGAGTTCCTATCTGTACCTTGTGGCTGGCTAATAGCCACTGATGGGCCTCTGCTCCATATGTTTAATAAGAACCCTTCCTGGGCCTAAGGCCCACATGCCCCTGCCCACTGATCAGTGTTCCCTATAAGCTGAGTTAGTGTGAGCTAGCTCACAGTTTTTTAGCCTCCGGCTCACACATTTTTGTCTTGGCTCAGGAAGGATGGCTCCAGAGCCAACTAATTTATGCAGCAGCCAAATTGCTTGCTCACAATTTTAATGCCAGTAGCTCACAAAGTAGAACTTTTGTTCACAAGGCTCCATAGCTTAGAGGGAACATTGCCCCTGATCTAACCCAACAAGATGCTCCAGGTTCAGTTTCCAGTGGTGGCCCACCAGGTGCCTCCCAGAAGCCCACCCAGATGTCCCAAAGGCAACAGCCCATCCATATTGTTGGAACTTGGTGTCCGTTACACAGAGGTATGCTGCTTCTAAACAGAGAGCTTCTGCTTCTCCCTGCGATAGCTGATGGACATCAGTAGCCCTCAGATATCCTTTATCGGTTTGCTGACTCCACATCTAGGGCTTGGTTTTGTTTTGCTCTCCAGTGAGTTTCTTTAAATGGGGTGGTGGCGGAACGGGCTGTCAAGTCGCAGCCAACTTATAGTGACCCTGTTTGATTTTTAAGGCAAGAGACGTTCAGAGGTAGTTTGCTGTTGCCTTCCTCTGCGTAGAAACCCGGGAATTCCTTGGTGGTCTCCCATCCAAAAGCTCAGAAGCTTAGCTTCTGAGAGCGGATGAGATCGGGCAAGCCTGGGCCATCCAGGTCAGATGCTGGGTGGGGGGGGGCAGTGGCAGTAGTTTTTTCAAATGTAAGTGTAAATGTTGCTGGATTTTTAAAAAAGAGGTTAAGCTGTTAACAGCACGGAATCATCTTGAGCCTCAATGGAAAAAGTGCCTACAAAAGCTATCAGTAAATAATGAATCTTTAATGGAGACAGAAGACGGGTAGCCGTGTTTAGTCTGTCTGTAGCAATAGAAAAGAGCAAGAGTCCAAAAGATTAACCTTGAAGATTAACACAATTTTTGGCAGGATTGGAGCTTTTGTGAGTCACTGCTCACTTCTTCAGATACCTGAAGATATCTGCCCTCCTGGCCCTTCCCATCAGCTGCCCACTTCTGGGGCAAAGAAAATGCATTCTCCTGGACTGAATAGAGACCTAGGTTTCCTGTCTCATCACCAGTGCTGATTTCTCCATGCCTACTACCGCTCTGCATAATCACACCTAATTCAATCACACCTGCTGTTGTCATTTACCTGCTATTTCCATTCAGCCCCTGAAATCAGTCCACTCTCCAAGTTAAAAGGACAGATGGACTCACATTCCAGCTGTATCCGAAGAAGTGAGCAGTGACCCACAAAAGCCCTTCCCCTGCCACAAATTTTATTAAGGCACTACTGGACTGTTGCTCTTTTCTACTGCTAATGAATCTAGGAATCTTTGGAGGAGAGGCTCTTGTTTTAAAAGAAAGCGTCCACAGGGTTGTTGTTATTTAAAAGGTGTAATGCATTGGGTAGTGCCTATCAAAATAAGAGCGGAAAACAAAGTTCCTATCATAACATGAATTAGAGGAAGTGAAAACTCTAGGGAAGAGGGGAATTAGACAGGCTTAGAATCAGAGCTGTTTAGAAACTCCTTTCCCTTCCCCTCCCCACAACAGACACCCTGTGAGGTAGGCGGGGCTGAGAGAGCTCTGAGAGAATTGCTCTTTCAGGAACAGCTCTTACAGAACTACGGCTTGCCCAGGGTCACCCAGCAGCTGCAAGTAGAGAAGTGGGTAATCAAACCTGGTTCTCCCAGTTTAGAGTCCGCACACTTAACCACTACACCAAACTGTCCTCTCCTCAAAAATAAGGTTCCTGGCATGGCTGTTTGGAGGGCGGGGCTTTTAATTAAGGGGGCAGGGCCCGCAAATGCCCCGCTGTAGCTACGGACGTGAGATTAGATATGTTGAAAGCTCCCTTAATGCATCTGGGATTACATCAGGATGCATCTCTGTGTGTGCCAAATAACGGTTTGTTTGTTTTCCTAATTGGCCCTTACCTGGTGGTGTAAACTGTGGGATGTACACTGAAACAGATAAGCCGAGGGGCAGTGCAGAATGTTCATTATTGCCGAAGGTCTCCCAAGGCAGACAATCACATTCGCTTCCAGTAGATCCGTGGAGGCAAACTTTATCCTAAAAAGGAAAAATATGTGGGGTTTTTTTTAGTTTTTTTTAGGGGAAGCATGTGATGCATCTCTGAACTGACTGCTGGTTTGTTCTCTGTGTGTTTAATGCAATAAAGGAAGTATCAGGAGCAGGAACTGAGTCCGTGACTTATGCACACCCTACCCTGATTTATTTAGCAGGGGGGGGGGCTATTTAGTGGAACTTTGGTGGTGGAAAGAACCATCAAGGTCCCAGCTGACTTAGGGCAACCCCATGGGGGGTTTCAAGGCAAGAGATATTCAGAGGTGGTTTGCCTTTGCCCGCCTCCGTGTCAAGACCCCGGTATTCCTTGGAGGTCTCCCATCCAAATACCAGCCAGGGCCGACCCTGCTTAGCTTCTGAGATCTGAGGAGATCAAGCTAGCCTGTTTCCTTCTGGTCCCAGAAGGTCGGACCAGAACCAACGGGTTGAAATTACATCAGAAGAATTTTCGGCTGAACGGTTGGAAGAACTTCCTGACACTTAGAGCGGTGCCTCAGTGGAACAGGCTTCCTCGGGAGGTGGTGGGCTCTCCCCCTTTGGAGGTTTTCAAACAGAGGCTAGATGGCCATTCAATTCCAGTTTGGAACATTCCATTTTTGGTCCCACATCAATTGTTTACTGCCTTTCAGGTGTAACAGGGGCTTTGTTGCATGTTCTCCTCCGCACTATTTGACCTCTGAAGAAGGCTCTAGTGGGCCGAAATGCATCAGGTCATATATGGTTTTAAATCAGAAGCGTTTTCGGCTAAACATTCGGAAGAACTTCCTGACAGTCAGCGCAGCTCCTCAGTGGAACAGGCTTCCTGGGGAGGTGGCGGGCTCTCTTTCTCTGGAGGTTTTCAAGCAGAGGCTAGATGGCCATCTGACAGCAATGCTGATTCTGTGAACTGAGGCAGATCTTGAGAGGGAGGGCAGGAAGGGTCGCCTCATTGCTTAGTTCTCGTGGCCCTTTCTTACACGCCCAGGGAAATACTGATCACTACTTTGGGGTCAGGAAGCAATTTCTCTCCAGGCCAGTTTGGCCGGGGATCCTGGAGGGTTTTTTGTCATCTTCTGGGCGTGGAACAGCAGTCACTGGGGTGTGTGGGGGGGGAGGTATCTGTGAATTTCCTGCCTTGTGCAGGAGGTTGGACCAGATGACCCTGGAGGTCCCTTCCAACTCTATGATTCTAAGAAATAAAGTTGGTAATCAACGTCTGTATCCACTTGGGCATTGAGGTGATCTGTCCCTAACTGGTATTGGTGGCGCATTGCCGACTTTAGTTGTCTGCCCAGGCGACAGAGGCCAAAGGAAACGTCCCTTGTTCTGATAGGAGCTCTCAGCACTGATATTAAGTGCCTTGAGCTCTCACAACAAGTTCAAAGATAAAACCGTAATAAGCAATCAGAGCTGTCAAGAGGAGAGCCAAGAAGCAGGGCACGGCCAGTGTGTGTGCAGAAGATCACTTGGCGGTAGGTTAGGGTCACATTTCAACCTGCCCACTTTTATTTTCTGGGCCGTTTGCGTAGCAGGAGAATGCAGTGTATGGAGGGTTGTGACCTCTGATCCTTTTTCAGGCATTGTCCCGCTCCCGGACACCGCCATTGACTTCTCTGACCTCCGGAGCAGCAGCGGTTCATCCCACAAGAGCAGCCGGGTGAGTCATTAACACACACACACACACACACCCCGCCGCCCAGCCGCTCTCTGCAGAGCCAGGCCAAAGAGTGAGGAGCATGACCGGTGGCCTGGAGACCAAGAAGCCCTATGAGGAGAGGCGGAGGGATTTGGGAATGTTCAGTCTGGAGAAGAGGAGGTTGAAGGGGGACGGGATGGCTCTCTTGAACTATTTGAAGGGCTGCCACTTCACTTAGGGGAGGGCAGGGAGTCTGTTGTCAGCAGAGGACGGGACTCACAAGAATGGGTTTAAATCGAGGGCGGGAAGGTACCAGCTGGATATTAGGGAAAACTGTTTTGCAGTCAGAGTTGTGCCACAGTGGAGTCAGCTGCCTAGGGAAGGTGGTGGGCTCCCCCTCAGTGGCAGACCTTAAGCAGATCTGTGTTGCCCCAGTGGTGGCTCTCCGAGGCCTCAGATAGGTGCCTCCCAGAGATCCCTTGAACTGGAGATGCTGAAGAGAGAGGCTGTGTCTGCCTGCGGGGAATCTGTGGTACCCCAGAGGAGCTCAAGCCCTTCTCCTGGGAAGGCTGTTGCCTAGAGGTTCTGCATCGAAACCCCTTATTGAGCCGAGCAAGTCGGTTCCAACCCTGAATGCTGGAGTTTTCGCCGATAGCTCTCTTGCATAGGTTTTCCTCTTTCTTAACACAAGCAACGTATTCGATTGTTTTTTTGTTTGGATTGCCGTTCCGTCCCTAATTCTCCTCCCTCCGGGGGTGTCTTTGTGTATGCGTTTATCCATTTAGCTTGTCTTAAATATTTTATGTGTATTCGTCTGTATTTTAACTTCGTTGAGCTTGATTGCCACTGCAGGGGACCCCGAGCTGGGTGGAAAGGTGGCGCAGCAGTGTTTTAAATCAAGAAATATTGAGAAATAGCTCCACCAGCCTCTCTTTGTACACTTTACCATCTCACTAGGAAGTAAGTTAAGCCTGTGGTCTGTCCTGCTTCAGACCGTGCATGATTGGATGCCCCTCCGTGCGTAACAATTTCCTGCTTGTAGAAAGCTAGCATATCGGGAAGAATACGTCAAGCCTTTTTTGACATGCTAGCTTTCTCATTGCATGGAGGCATTTTTCCCTATCAGAGAGGTTAAGAACATGAGACGAGCCTTGCTGGATCAGAAGTGGTCCCTCTAGTCCAGCATCCTGCCTCACACCGTGGCCCCAGCCAGTTCCTCTGGAAAACCAACAAGAGGGCAGAGAGGCCGAGGCCTTCCCCTCATAAGAACATCAGAAAAGCCCTGCTGGATCAGTGAAAGTCCCTCTAGTCCAGCATCCTGTCACACACAGTGGCCAACCAGTTCTTCTGGAGGGCCAACGACAGGGCATAGAGTCCAAGGTCTTCCCCTCATAAGAACGTAAGAAGAGCCATGCTGGACCAGACAGGTGCAGGTTTAATCTGCAGTGAGAATTGGGCTTTAGTCAACAAATGGCCAAGGGAGAAGAAGAAGAAGAAAAGATTGGATTTATACCCCACCCTTTGTTCGGAGTCTCAGAGTGGCTTACAATCTCCTTTCCCGTCCCCTGCCCACAACAGACACCCTGTGAGGTAGGTGGGGCTGAGAGAGCTCTTGAGAGAACTGCTCTTGAGAGAACAGCTCTGAGAGAACTCGTGACTGACCCAAGGTCACATCAGCAGCTGCATGTGGAGGAGTGGGGAATCAAACCCAGTTCTCCCAGTGTAGAGTCTGCACTCTTAACTGCACTCGTTGTACTATGTACAATGACAATAAAGTATATTATTATAATTATATTATTATTATTATTTTATTACACCAAACTGGCCTTTGGTCCCATGGCATCTTTCTTCCGTGTCCCTCCCAGAATAACGAGGACTGGACAGTGTGCAACCGCTGCGAGACGTACCGCCCCCCCAGGGCTCACCACTGCCGTGTATGCCACCGCTGCGTGCGTCGCATGGATCATCACTGCCCATGGTGAGTTTCCCCGCAGCTTTGACGCACGGGAGGACGAGTAGCTTTGAGACGGCAAGCTGGAATGGGGCTTCATTTCTGAAAGGGGGGGGGGCTTCACCAAGAGACATCTGGCGGAGATTGCCTGAAAGGGGATTGCTCTTTTAATCAAGCCCAAACTGGAGGATGGGGTGGGGTAGCCAAAATCCTCTGTGAGTCTTTCTTTCATAAGGACATAAGAGGAGCCCTGCTGGATCACACCAAGGGTCTGTCTAGTCCAGCATCCTGTCCCACACAGTGGCCAGCCGGTTCCTCTGGAGGGCCAGCAGCAGGGCATAGAGACCAAAGCTCTCCCTTTGGTGTTGCCTCCTGGCACTGGGATTCAGAGGTTGATTGCCTCTGACTGTGGAGGTTCCCTTTAGTCACCAGCACTAGAGGCCACTGATAGACCTCTCCTCCCTGATTCTGTCTAATCCCCTTTCAAAGCTGTCTGTGCCTGTGGCCATCTCTGCATCCTCTGGCAGTGAATTCCACATTTTTATCACTCTCTGTTTAAAGTAGCATTTCCTTTTGTCCGGCCTGAGCCTACTGCCCATCAGCTTTATTGGATGCCGCCGAGTTCTAGTATTTTGGCAGAGGGAGAAAAGTTTCTCTTGTCATAGTTTTATAAACCTCTATCAAGCCCCCCCCCCCCCGTCATCTCTCTCCTCCTAGGGAAGCTGCTCCAACTTTCCATCGGTTCCCAGTGCAAACTGTTGCTAGTCTTTCAGGACAGAAAAAGGTATAAACCTTTGGCTGACAAACTGAAGGCGTTGAACATCAGATATAGATGGGAAATTCCGCAAGGTTTATCCTTCACATATAAAGGAGGGAGGATTCTGATCAGATCGGTGACGGATTTTTACAAATTCAAAGCGGACAATTTAGATGACTTTGGAGAACTTTAAATTAAAACGCATAATGGATTACAAATTGTTGTCATGGAATGTGAATGGATTAAATTCACCAAACAAGAGGAAAAGAATCAATTATTGGATACAAAAACAAAATTGTAATGTGATATGCTTGCAAGAAACTCATATCAGAAAACAAGATGTTAAATATTTAAAAAATGTTAAATTAGGATTGGAATTTTGTTCTTCGGCCCTAAACAAGAAGAAAGGAGTGGTGACATATGTGAAAAATCACTTGCAACCTAAAGAAATTTTTAACGACTTGGAAGGGAGATATGTGGGTGTGGAAGTTATGATCCAACAAAAAAAGACACTGGTGATCAATTTATATGCACCCAATGGAGCAAAGGAGAAATTTTTTAAGGACTTAAATGAGCACCTACAAAAACAAACTTATGACCAAGTCATTATGGCTGGAGATTTTAATGGAACTATAGACCGCTTGGACAGAAAACCACAAAAAGGCAACGAAAATAGTGGAAAATTGCCAAGGAACTTTTTTGAAATAGTCAAACAGGAAAAATTAGAAGATGTTTGGCGGAAATGGAACCCGACACAGAAAGACTTTACATTTTATTCCAATAGACATTGTTCTTTTTCCAGAATTGATATGATTTGGATGTCAGAAGAATTGTCAATGAAAACACATAAAATTGAAATTTTGCCCAGATGTAATTCAGACCACAACCCTGTTGTGTGGAGCTCTATAGAAAGGAACAAATCCTTCCTTTGGAGAATAAATGAAGATTTGTTGGATAAAAAAGCTGTAGTAGAATTGCTAAAGGAAGAAACAAAACAATTTTTTAAAGAAAATTTAAACAAAGAGACCCCGATACAGGTTGTGTGGGATGCCTACAAAGCCGTGATGAGAGGAATCCTCATCTCGCAAAATGTGAAGCAAAAAAAGGAAAAATTTCAAAAACAAGCAGAAGTGTTGGAAAAAATAGCCCAAAAAGAAAAAGAATTAAAAAAGAAACCTGGGAAAAAGAAAATCATCAAAGAATTGCAGTTGCTAAGAGAGCAACTGAATGAAACTTTGAACCATGAACTCTATTGGAATTTAAAGAAGTTACAGCAAAAATCTTTCGAAGGGGCAAATAGACCGGGAAAATATTTAGCTTGGCAACTTAAAACTAGAAAAGAAAGAAGAATGATAACCAAAATTATAGAAGATGGAAAGGAATTCGTTGACCCTAATGGTATAAAGAGAAGTTTCTTCAAGTATTATGCCAAATTATTCCAAGCAACTAGAACTGATCTTGAGAAGATTAGAACATATCTGGAAGAAAGTCCACTATCTAAAATAAGCAGTGAATTTAAGGATTTATTAAATGGTCGAATTCAAAAAGAAGAAGTGACGAAGGCGATTGAAGAATCGAAGTTGGGAAAGGCGCCAGGGCCGGACGGATTTACAGCAAAGTTTTATAAAAAAATGAAAGAGGAAATTCTTCCGGCCATGGAAGCTTTATCCAACGAAATAAGAGAGAACAAAAAGGTGCCAGATTCATGGAAAGAGGCAATTATTTCACTGATACCAAAGGAAGGACAAGATCTAACAAATGTGAAGAACTACAGGCCAATCTCTCTTCTAAACAATGACTACAAAATCTTTGCAAAAATTATTGCAGAAAGGGTGAAAAACTATTTACAAACAGTGATTTCGGAAGACCAAGCTGGTTTTTTACCAAAAAGACAGATTCGTGATAATGTAAGAATAGTAATGGATGCAATTGAATATTATGAGAAGCACCCAGAAAAAGAAGTAGCTTTATTATTTGTTGATGCAGAAAAGGCATTTGACAATCTTAACTGGAATTTTATGCTACAAATGATGGAAAAAATAGAAACGGGACAACAATTTAGAAACTGTATTGAAGCTATCTATTTTGAACAAACTGCAAAATTGAATGTGAATAAGGAAGTGACAGATAACTTCAAGGTACAAAAAGGTACAAGACAGGGTTGTCCTTTGTCACCGCTATTATTCATATGGGTACTGGAAGTATTGTTACAAAAAATACAGCAAGACCAAGAGATAAAGGGATTGACACATAAAGGATTTAAATACAAGTATCGAGCATTTGCAGACGATGTTATGTTTATTGTGGAAAACCCGATTGAAGAGTTACCATTACTATTCCAAAAGATAAAAGATTTTGGAGAATTGGCTGGATTCTATGTGAACAAAAATAAAACGAAGCTTATTTGTAAGAACATGACGAAACAAAAACAAGTGGAACTACAAGACCTGGTACAATGTGAAGTAGTAAAAAAACCGAAATATTTAGGCATTGAGTTAACGGCGAGAAATATAGACTTATACAAGAATAACTATGAAAAATTATGGACCAAGTTAACTCAAGACTTTAAGAAATGGGATAAAATGAACTTATCATTGATGGGAAGAATATCAGTTATCAAAATGAATGTCTTACCACGTTTGATGTTCCTGTTCCAAACAATACCAATACTTCACAAGACGGATATGCTACTTAAATGGCAACAAGAACTATCAAAGTTTGTTTGGGCAGGCAAGAAACCGAGAATTAAGATGAAAATACTCTGTGATGCCAAAGAATTTGGGAGAGTGGAGGGGGAAAAATATCTCTAAAATGTATAAAGTGTTGTTAAAATGGTTTACTGAAGATGAAACTGTGAAAGAGCAAATGATAAAATGGGCAATAAATATGAATAAGGAAGTGTCTATTGAAACTTGGGAATATTTGTGGAAAAATTCTATTAAGATATCGCCTTGTACCAATGTCAAAGAGAATTGTTATAAAATGATGTATAGGTGGTACATGACTCCGAAGAAAATTGCAAATATGAACCAGACTATGTCAAATAAATGTTGGAAATGTAAGACCCATGAGGGCTCATTTTACCATATGTGGTGGACTTGTGAGAAAGCTGTAGACTTTTGGACAAAAGTCCACAGGGAAATACAAAAAATATTGAAATGCTCTTTCAAAAAAGCACCAGAAATTCTGCTTTTGGGACTGAAAATGGAAGAAGTCAATACGACTAAAAAGACTTTACTCTGGTATTTAATAACAACAGCGAGAATGATATATGCACAATTTTGGAAAACAGAGAAAATACCAGAGATAGAAGACTGGATACAAAAAGTTCTGTTCATGGCTGAAATGGATAAAATTACAAAAAAACTGAACAACGATGAAGACGACGTTTTTTTTCAAGAATGGAGTGACTTTAAAATATATCTGGAAAAGAACTGGGATGTGAAACAAAACTTAATATGTTTAGATCAATATTAAGTCAAATGAAGTTATCTTGAGATTGTAATGATAAGAAAAATGATATAATCGATGTAAAGTAATGTGAAATGGGGGGGAAGCATTGCGGGAAGCCACGGAAGGGAGGGGAGGAGATGGGAATGGGGTAAACAATGGAAAAATGAAATGGTTTAATTTAAATGTTGTATTCCTATGGAAAAAATAAAAAAAATTGTTTACCAAAAAAACAAACTGTTGCTAGTCTTACTTGCATTTTTCCTGTACTGGGTCCCAAAGACAGACTGGGGTATTCTCCTGTTGGCCTGTCTGCCTCAGTCACCAGGAGGGACGCTGCCTCAGGTGGCAGAGATGCTGTGTGGGGCTGGAGTCCCCCATGCTGGTTGATCTGGGAGACTTCCATGTGGAAGTGTCCTTTATCAGGCCGTTGTTAGACTGACCTACTGAAACCATGGTGATGATATTATTGTTGTTGTTGTTGTTGTTATTGTTACTATTATTGTTGTTATTGTTGTTGTTGTTGTTGTCATCATCCCACCCTCCCCTGTATAGCAGGGCTCAGAGCAGGTAACAACATTCATGAAACAATCCATAGAATTAAAATATTAAAGAATTCTGCAGTAAAACAACAACTAATAGATGGCGTATAAAAGGAGCGCAGCCTGGTGCTCCTTATCCGGGGAGGGAAATAAATATCCTAGAACCTAGAGGGGGGGGGGGGGGGAGAGAAGAAAAAAAGCCAAAGGGAAGGGAGGCCAATTCAGAACAGACATTGTCGCTTCCCTCAACCATAGGCCTGACGGGACAGCTCTGTCTTGCAGGCCCCGTGGAACTGCATCAGTTCCCGCAGGGCCCGGATCTCAACCGGCAGAGTGTTCTGCTAGGCCGGTGCCAGGGTCGAAAAAGCCCTGGTTCTGATTGAGGACAGTCAGACAGTTTTTGGGCCAGGGATCACCGGTAGGTTGTTATCACTGGCGCTCAGTGCTCTTTGGGGGGGCGTACCAGGAGAGGCGGTCTCATGGCGCCTGTCCACTGCAGAGGCAGAGCTGCAAGCAGAAGGATTTACCTCAGATCCGCTTGGATTCCAGAACATTCTGACAGATTCTGAGTTTCCAAATGTTTCTGTTAAAACCTTGGTGGGAATCTGGAACGACAGGCTCCTGGGAACAATTGGTAGGATTACGCCTTGGCACCTTCTACTACCCCCCCACACACTGGAGCCTGTTGCCATGGTTTAACATGAGAGGACATGGGGGCAACCATAAAGGGGGGTGGACAGTCTGGCCAAACATGTCCTAGAACTCATTTTAAAGTCCTGTGAGGTGGTGGTGGGGATGTTACCTGTCTGCTAACGCTTCATCGCTTGAACCGCGCCTGGCTTAGTTGTTTAGGTGGTTTTAGAAACTGAGGACCCTAAATATGGATTCCCCAAAGGAGGAGGAGTTGACCATTAGCAGTGATACTTTTGAATGGTTCTCTGCAGATGAAGGGTCGGATCTCTGCTCCACCCTGGGTGCTGATTTTGGAACAGATTGGGTGGTAGAGTTGTCTAGACCACCATCTAGCCCTTTTTTGGGTAACGTCTCGGCTGTTAAAAATGCAACCACCCCTCATAGCCTTGATGGAGGAGAGTTGTCTTCTGTTTCCCCAGAAGATTGGACCAGAACCAACAGGCTGCAATTAATCAAG